CAGCACTATCTTGAAAATAAAGGAAATTACTTTAAGACTAAGGTGTCAAAAAATGTACAACTGATGATATTTTATGATCTTTCTTTTTTCAGAAAGGAAGCCCCCCTTACCTCTCAATTTACGAGCCATGTTTGTGACCTATGTGGCACACAGTTATCCTCAAAGCCATGAACCGCCATAGATGATACGTGTCCTTTAAACCAACTGGTTTAGAGGTTGATTACAGAATACCTGTAATCCTCATTCACGGCTAATAAGTATAGAGCAAAGAGTTGCTAAAAAGTATCAATATTGATGTAAATTAATCATGTTATCCTAAGTAGCTAAGATTTGGGTAAACAGGAAAAACAAACAGCAGTGAAACTCGATGAGGGTTAACGGTGTTACCTTGTCCAGTATATGTTGTGTTCAGGCCACTTCTTGTGACATCCAGGAGCTCCGAGTTTGTCGGACGGATGGTTTTCCCTGTGACAGACCAAATCTGGACTACAGCTCTTGCCATGTTTTTGAATAACTGCCATTCAACGCGAGTTAACAGCAGCCTCCGTTCAACCGCTTCGGCTGTCTACTTTCAATGTCTTCCGGTCGATAGGTGTGTCGTCAGAAAAGTATACGTGTAAAATAAATAATCCTGAAAACTGAAACTGGACTGAACAGGGACGTAAAGCGATGTTCGTGGAGCTCAAGCTGGAGGAGGGAGTCTGTTTTTCCTGATACCCTAGGAGGAGTAATCCACGTGTCAGTTTTTCTCTCCAGCCTCCTTTTGCCGGCGACGCAGTTCTTCTTTTGATCGGTAGGGTTAATCTGGAAGTGATTTTTGTTCTGTGTCTTTTCTAAACGAGTCTAATAAACCGATTCAATTCAAAAAAAAAAACAGTGTGACGCCTCTGGCTCCGGTCCCTCTCCAGTCATGACGGAGCAAAATATGTCACAGATATAACGGTGTCGTCTATGGGAGCATCGTCGGAGCACCAGGATGTGCTCTCCTCCTGACCCGTGCCTGCCGGATGGAGACGGGATGATGCCCGTGCAGAGAGGCTGCTGTGGGGCAGGGAGGTGCGCAGTGACAGCCTCCAAGGTTGTTTTAAGGGTTTTTTCTGTCCCTGGCTGTGTGAGGCTTTAGCAGTAAATAGTTATATAATACCCCTGCATTCAGCACAACTTTTTCCCTGATTTCGCAAACTCCAGGTGGTGGTGGTGGAAGGAGCACTCACATCCTTTTTTAGGTTGAAGTGATGCATGCATTATATATGAAAACTTGCATTGCACAGTAGTAAAACAGGTACTAAAGATAACAGCCAAGTGTCATAATATTATACTGCTAGTTACAGGTCCTGCATTTCATTCTAACCCTTACTTAAGTAACAATACAAAAACATTATTATCCAATGAAAAATTGGTCATTATCCAAATTGCCCCTCTTCAGAATCATATTCATTATTTGTTTTTGTATGAAACTCTTAACCTGTAGCTAGTCACTAAAGCTTCCAAATAAATGTAGTGGAGCATAAGAATAAAATACTTCAAATGCATACATAGTGCTTGATTTATGTAATTTCCAATAAATGTTACCCTCGTAAAAACACTTAATGTTTAAGTGTTGCAGTATTGAAACTTGACTGAATGGACTTAGTTATTTTGCCGTTACATCATTTGAAACATAGAAAGCGTCATTCCTTTAAAGACTTGTGCAGTTTAAAAATCACTTTTATTGCAAAATAATATTCCAGCAAAAAAAAAAGCACATCAAATTTTTGCAAAATAGCTACTTATTCCTTACATGTAGATAATCGGTCTGTAAAAGTGTCTCCATGTCAGCGGACATAGATGTATTCATTCACATTTTTTATATCATCAGTGATATTTTGTAACGGTATGAAACTGAGGATGCCTTTAAGCTTGCAGTCACAGTATGCTGGACAGTTTTTAGCATTTCCGGAATCTTGCCTTATCCGACTTATTTGCTGCCTAGATGTATAGCTCAAATGTTTCTCTTTTCTTCGTTATTGTCTATATTTGCATCTTTTTATAGTGTCTCAAGCAATGATGAAGTACGAATCTTAAGCTAAATTCAACTTTCAAAGTCACAATACTTTAAAAGATTCTACGTATCTTGCTTTGGCTATTGCCGTTACATAGAGGACTAGCTAAAATCTACAAGCTGAAATGTGTGAGAAAAAGTTTTCATTTATTTGAGGCAGTGCACACCGAGCCATCCCTGGACATCAAACTGGTCACCCACAAGAGTGACAGCCTAATTTAGGCTTTATCCACACCCTTCTATGCCAACAACTTTCCCTGCCAACAGACAGAAAAACTAGTATAACTCAAATATACTATTTTACATAAACAAATAGTAAATTATAATACCAAGTAAAATAACTGTCTGCATGTTACTTTAGTGTGAATATTCATTTTAAAATGCCATCAATCCAGTTTGCACATTCTAAGTTATTAAAGTATCAAAAAGCAACCCTTACAAAAAAGAAAAGGTTGTACTCTATGAGTCCGTTTGTTGGGGTATAAATAGATAAAGGAAATATGTCCATTTTGTAATGCTGTGGTATGTTTTCACTGCGGGTCCTTATTTGGGGTCCTCGATGGTTCCCTTGCTGAGGTCTGTCATTTTGGGATACTTCACTTTCTTTTGGTCAAGTTCATTTTGAGCCCACAGCAGTAGCTTCAGGAGCTTGGCCAGCTTAGGAGTTGACTCTCTGTTTTCGTAGTCTAGCACACACTGATTCACTTCACTCCATACCTGTAACACAAAGACACATACATGTTTGTGTTTATACTTAACATTTTACACAGACACACACTAATAAAGAAACTCATATGTAACTGATTTGAAAACAGGAGATACAAATACTAAATTTGTCTTCAAAATAATGCAGCACTAACATTCAATGTTTGACCTTGTGTTGCAGGGATCAGATCAACATTTTTGGCTTGTGAGATAATTAAATTGCATGTGGCATGCAGTTTAAACTGATTCAATTGAATACAGATGCGAGACAAGACAGGGATGATGCTAATATGCTTTAACCGTACCTTTTGCCTCTGCATCATATTGAGCAGATCTCCAAAAGGTGACTCCTCAGGGTTGTCAAAAGCAAGCAGGGCCAGTGTCCTTTCCATCTCAGTCAGACATTCTCGGCTCTCCTCCCCCTGCTCTGCTAACTGAGACTGGGCAAATTCCAGGGCAGCTTCAGTCTCCCTTAAACGAATCAGCTCAATCAGATGCTGCTGCTGCAAACAAAAACAGCAAGAGGGTGCAACCGTGTGAGATGAGAAGTCAAAAACAGGCAGTACGAAACCAAGAGGTCTGAAAAATGAAAGGCATTTTGTTTTGTTTTACCTGTAGGTGAAAGTAGAGGTAACGGTTAGTATCCAGCAGTTCTGGGTGCAGGCTGTTAATCAGTGCAATGGCGTCCTGGATCTGTCCCTTCAGGATCATCTCTCTGATCTTAATTCTTTCATCTAGGGAATCCAAGTCCACACTAGGCTCTATTCCAGACTCCATCCTGAACTTCTCAGCTGCCTCCTTGAAGCCCTCTGTGGAACAAAAACCGTGGTAAAACTCTGGGCATTGTACACCCATACATTGCTTTTATCTGCACAATTGACCTTTAAAAAAGACAACCAAGAACAAACTTAGAGTAATACAAAATCGGTACTTCACCTGTCACCAGATAGTTCATAATTAGCCTGTTCATATCGGCTCTCTGAATATGGACATTGTTGAGTTTTTCCATCCACTCTTCCCTTGTAATGTCCTCTGGCTTCTCTGTATAACTCATTTTGTAAATATCCTAGACGAATGCAGAAGGGTTATCTTATTAGTTGACAAATAGACATTAAATCCAACCTAATTATACAACGTTGTAGCGGTTTTGGCAATAAGCTCTTCAGTTTCTCAGCAACACTGCACCGGAAATTATAAGTCACAACAGTTAGGGCCTTCGATGAAAAACACAACATTGAAGCCTGCCTTTCCTCAACACGAATCAAAACAAACACAACCTCCGTATTTCAGTACATTTGTATAGAATACAGACACCATCAATGAATGCTTTTAATGTTAATGTGCTTTACCAACTTGTATCTATAGCCCAATACTAGAATTAAAGTTATAAAATTCACAATACCTGAAAATGTTTTCGCTACTTCCCAGCAGTAGCTAACAAGCTAGCGGAGGATAGCTACTTCTTCTTCTTCTATTACTTCCTCTATTTCCGGTACCGGTAACTACAAGGAAAGTGTAATACTGCCCCTACAGGATATAAAAAGCATTGTATGACTGATTGAGAACTGCATATCTCAAAAAGGCTAATGTGTTTTTCTTACTATCTTAACCAGTTACACCTACTGCATCTTTCTTTCTGACTTTCTTTGAGAATGGACATGTGCAGTAGTGGCATTCGTCTTACTATTTGGATGACGATTAATAGGAGTTTATCTATGTAGTGTGCTTGTATAGGGACTGGTAATTTTGTAATTATTTTATAGTTGGTTACTTTAATAACATGGCACAGCCTCACTTGACATAACTGCAAGTTGCAACACATGAGGATGAGAAAACACCTGTTATAAAAGGAACTACAGCGACCTCAAGTGTTGTAATCAGGCAATAGACCAGACTGTAGATTACTCGAGGTAGCAAAGGGAATATGGACCACTCCTCAAAGGATTAGAATACTATTATGTTTTATTTGTCACTATAAAATGCATAAAACATTGTTGAAATGCAATAAGTATGAACATTATTATCTAATTAGATATAATACATTATTAGAATTGCCACAAAACATATATAATCAATATATTGTGATATACTGTTTCACTATTTTACATTATTTTCTGCAATCTATTAGTCATTATAGTTTAGGCTTGTCCTGTTAGTAACCTCAGTTTGCAGATGTTAGCAACAGGAGAAGCCCCGCCCCCTTCTGGCTACCTTGTTTGTTGTCACTATGGAAACAAGGCTGTTAACTTTAGTCCTAGAAGTCCGTTCAGAAGCTAAACTCAGTTAAACAACATTAGCTGTTAAGAAAATAACCAAAGCGAGAAGATATTGAATGAAAGAGCAGGTAACCCGATTGACAGCCTGTCGCTATTTACTGCAATAAGCTAACTTTTAAGATTATTACAGCGACCAAAAGTGTAATTGTTTGTGTTAACGTTGTGTATGTAGCATTAGCACGATAACTAACTAGCTTAACTCAATTAGCCTTGGAGTTAATGAAAGACAGCTGTAATAGCCTTACTTTTGCTTCTTGTTATTTTCAGTGTCTTGTTGCCAGACATGGCCAGCTCTCCTGGAGTTAGCGAAGGCACATCAGCAGTGAAGAGCATGTCGCAGTTTCCCGTCCTGCCCCCGATTGATGGCGTTCAGGACAGGGGGGAGGTTAGACAGACCACTGCTGCAAAGAAGGAGATAGCTGCGAAGATTACGGTTCGCAAGACATTTCTGAGGCACAGAAGGAGCAAAGTGCAACAAGAGCAACTCCATGCCATATTGTATGTTTTTAACATCAACTGTGGCAGCCCTTTAGTCAATACATCAATAATAGGATATGACAATGATCTCAGTTTGTAACAAATTTGTTGATGTGTGACAATTGGTTGAATTATTACAGGGTGTCCAGAGCAATGGAGGCTTACAGTCAGACCAAAGAGAGGGAAGCAATGCACTCACCAGAACCAGAGTGTCCTCCTTCTGTATGACAGTCATCTACCTATGCACACATTTAAAATAGAACATTATGTATGTATATTGCAGTCTATAATCTGGCATATTTTAATCATTCTTTTTGCAGATGATAAGTGAGGAGCGCAAGCGAAGAGTAAGTCCATAGTTTAGTTCAAGTAAAATTCAACCATTGAGGGACTAAACCCTACTTTTTTGTATGTGATGCCTCTCCAATTGTGTTGGTCCAATTTGCAGATGAACTACATGTTCCTAAGGCAGTGTGTAGAGAACCGCCCAGTCGCTCCAATCCAGTCACAGTGGTTGGAATCAATTGTTGCCCGAGTGTCACCTAATTTTAAAGAGGGCCCTGAAACCAATAAACTACTTCAGGAGCTCTGCAAAGAAGTCAGCGAGGATTTCCACAATGTGATTGTCAAGCACACAGGTATTGTCAAGTTAGTATGTATGGATGTATGGATCTATGGGTAAACAATGTCTTATTGTGCCATATTCACTCCCTTTAGTGGACACAGTACTAAAGAATCCCCAGATGAAAGAAGCAGACAAACCGGCAGCTAGTCAACCAAAGTGAGTGTGAAATGTACAACAAGTATTTATTGATAATAACCAAAAAGTAGTTGGTCAGTATTTGCAATGCCATTTTTGTAAGTTACCTTTCCATTGTTTGCAGAATTCTGAATCTCTCTCCATCATGGCATAATAGCTTTGTCCGAAGCCGCAAAATGATGAAATCAAATTTGCACATTCTTCATCCGGTAATGCAAACTGTCTTGAATATTGGATACCTGACATTTTCTCCAGTGGTCCTGGTGGACCTTACAGGATGCAGGTAAGGAAAGACACACATGTAATGTGGCGCTGCTTAAAAAGGAACAAAACTCAGATTTCCTATGTTTTTAATTTGTTGGCTTCTGTCTGCTAAGGGCTTCGGGACCTGTAGACTGTAAGAGCCTACAGAACAAAATGGCAGTGGAGTGTAAGAGGACAGAAGATCGTGTCATGAATACCTGGTTTCCAAAAGTCATCCACTTATTAACAAGCTATGAAACACTGAAGGGAGTTAAAGAGGAGAAACTGGACTCATTCTATGACTGTGCATCAACCCTCATCTCCAATCAGGTGAGATCATTCTGACTTGAATTCGAGCCTAATTTGTCAGATTGAATAGATTACAGTTATTTAAATGAAGGTTGTTTCACTGTATCAAAAACAGTACATACATACATGAATTATTTTATACTGTCCTATATAATTTCATCATATTACATGTTTGGATATAATGGCATGCATTTAATGTTTTTTTTCTCAACTACACATTATGACTGTTTTCCTTTTGTTAATTCCCAGTTGAAATCCCTGCTTCAGTCGAGTATAGAGGAGTTGGTCAATCACTTTGATCCGAGCAATGGCCAACGCTTGCCCCTCTTTCGCATGGCTTTGACATTTGATGATGAAAAGATGGAAATTTACCCCACATTAAAAGATCTGGAAGCTGCCATTTTGGAGATTCTTAATGCCATCACAAACACGCTGCAGGTGAGGTTATGTTTAATAGCAATTTAAAAGGAATGACCACTTTATGGCACATTTTAGAGGTAAAAAAATGATTGTGTGCTAGTATTGATATCTATGACATTGATCCACAGAAAGTGCAGATGGTCCAGTCATGGCTGGCGCAAACCTCACCTTCCTTTGTTGATGCCAAGGTGGCTGATCACGTCCTAGCTTGGGCTCAGGTCACTATAAAGACAGCTGTGTGCAAGAATCTAGAAGAACCTGAAGGACACTTCCAGAACTATGGTGATGTTTTATAATCCATTCATTTCCTTTTATCGTGATTACGTTTAATTCCATTCATTACTGATTTTTCTGCTTGACTTGCAGTTGAGAACTATGACTGGTTGATCAATGGAGATGCACAGGCAAGAGTAGAACAGTTCATGCAAGAGGAACACTCTTTTGATGAGTACACTAAGGTAATTATCAGAAAAAATACAAATGATGCTGCATATATTATGGAGCTATTCATAATCTCATTTTTATTTAAAGCAAGTGGAGGAGTTTCGTGTTCTATCAAAAGAGATTCTCAACCTCCCAGCAAAAGCCCACTTTCCCATGGTCCATCTGGACTGTGAAGAGCTGAAACAGGGGCTTGCCAACAAAACAAAAAAGTATGCTGAAATACTTCTGAAGAAACTGATCACCAGCCACCGTGAGCAAAACCAACAGTGAGTCACTTCTTGTAACATTCTTTAATCAAACTGTCTGTCTTTGGGTTTTTTATATTATTCAGTTTTTCTCACAATCCATTTTGTGTCTGATTAAAGGATCTGCACTGAATTTGAAACCATCAGAGAAAATGTTCTGAAAGTACCAGAGAACACGGAGGACATGAGTCAGATCATTGATCACATTCAATTCACTAAGGCAAAGGGTATTGCTGAACTCAATACAAAACTAAAGGTAAAGTAATTGGATCTACCTGTTGTATCATACACTAAATCCTATCGATTTCAGTTCATTTATTTGAATTCTAACCGTATTTACTCCCACATCGCGTTCTGACAGGAAGCCTACTTAAGACTGATGTACATCCTGGATGTCCACATCATTGAGCCAGAGGATCTTGAGCTCAATGCAACTGTCTTTCTCTGGCCACGGAAAATCCTCCATGTCTTTGACCTCAGTGATGAAGTAAGACTTGTGTTACTGTTGAAAATAGTATGTCAGTTGTTTTTTAACGATAACCTGATACTGGACGGCTGCATCCTTTTCCAGGTGATGTCGAAGGCCAGGCAGAAAGGGGAGCAGGAGCTGGTCGCTAAAATAGAAAAATTAATGATTCAGCTGGAAAAGTTGGGACGGAGGATCGAAGAGCTCCCACATTACTCTGAGCTGGATATGATGCAGCAGGTAAAGGGTCTTGAGCATCTTTAGAATTTGAAGAAATAATAGTTCTGACATTTTGGGAAATATATGTATTTGCTTTTTTTTCGAGAGCAAGATAGAAATATCAATACCAGTCTCATAACTCTCCATAAATCCACCTATTGTTGTTCTTACACTTCAGATTTGTACGTTTTAAACAAACAATATATACATTGTTAATTAATAAGGTTTAACGGTTGGTGGATTGTGATACTTCAGACAGAGCCAGGCTAGCTGCTTCCTGCTGTTTCACTTCTAATGCTAGGATAAGCTACTTGTCCGCTACCTCTAGCTTCATATTAAACAGATAGATGTGAGAGTGGTATCAATCTTCTTTTTTAACTCTCTGCAGTAAAGTGAATAAGTGCACTTCACAAAATGTCAAACTGTCCCTTTGAACTTAAAATAACTTTATATTCATTTTTAAAATGTGCTGTTTAATACCTAATCAGTGTAAGTACAAAGCAAGTACTGATCAGATTTGTGTCAAAGCTTCATAAAACCTACATTTCGTGTTATTTTCTAGCAATACAATGACATTAAATATTTGTCTTGTTTCCCCTCTTTTTCAACAAGTATATAACGGATGTCAGAACAGTTCAGAAACTTCTCCAGGAGGCTGAGGAGGCCATCGTCTTCGTTAACAAAGAAGAGGCCTTCTACAAACGGGACCAAACCTTTTACCCAGAGGTTGATGTCATCAGAGACACCATTGACCCGTATCAGAAGCTGTTCGCACTTGTGCAGAAGTGGCAGCGCACCCAGAACAGGTCTGAAAGTAATTTAGTATGTGTTGCATTCTAATTAAAAAAAATTATCCTGACATCCTTTTATCTTCTTTCTGAATAGGTGGATGAACGGCTCCTTCCAGGAACTAGATGGCGAGAGCATGGAAATAAAAGTGGACGAGTTCTTTAGGGAGATCTTCAAAATGCTGAAGTTATTCCAACAGAAGCAGAATAAGGCTGAGCAAGAGATGGAGAAGATGGCGGGAAAGTCTAGGCCACGAACTGCCGAGGCTGATCAAAAGAAGCAGGGAAGCCCCACAGTCCTTTTGTGCTCCACTGTAATGGAGCAGATCAAAGAGTTCAAGGTAACTGTCATCTCAATCAGGCTCGTTAATGAGGTCTTGTAGCCAGTTCAATCTTGTTTGCTTATGCTCAACCTCGATGTGTTTTTCTCAACAGGACCATATCCCCGTAGTTTCCATCTTGTGTAATCCAGGCATCAGAGCTCGCCACTGGGAACAAATGTCAGAGGTAGTGGGGTATGACCTCACTCCTGACTCTGGAACTACACTGAGCAAAGTTCTCAAACAAAACCTGGGTTCTTACCTGGAAGAGTTTGATTCTATCAGCGCTGCCGCTAGTAAAGTGAGAGTTCCTGAAATGTTGTGTTTGTTTCTTCACCATTTGATAAAAACCTAATACTAAATGTGCTGACCACCCTGTACCCCCACTATCTTGTGTCTCAACAGGAGTTTTCCCTGGAGAAGGCTATGCAAAGCATGGTGCATATTTGGGATCATATTTCTTTCAACCATCAACCTTATAGAGAGACCGGAGTGTCCATCTTGACCTCCTTGGATGAGATTCAGACAATGCTAGACGACCAGATTGTGAAGACTCAGACTATGAGGGGCTCACCGTTCATCAAACCTTTTGAAAAGGAGATCAAGGTAAGCTTTGAGTTTTAGAATTCACCAAACGCTGATGAATAAATTTTTCAATCTCAACTCTTGGGAGTTTTACTAGTCCTTCAAAGATGTACTTGTTTGTTCTGTGACCTCAGCTTTGGGAGGAGCGTCTGCTTCGTATCCAGGAGACCATCGATGAATGGCTGAAGGTGCAGTCCCAGTGGCTCTATCTGGAGCCCATCTTCTCTTCTCAGGACATCATGCAGCAGATTCCAGAAGAGGGCCGACTTTTTCAAACTGTTGATAAAAACTGGAAAGAGGTCATGAGGCACTGCATTAAGAACTCTCAGGTAGTCGTCGAAATTATTTTGTGGTGGACACTTTATTTCTATTATTTGAAAAGAGGAAAATCTGAAATATAAACTCTTTGTGTTAACTGAAGATTTCTAATCATAGATTCTGGCTGCAACCGCTCTGCCTGGTCTGCTAGAGAAACTGCAAGATTCTAACAACCTCCTGGAGATCATCATGAAAGGGCTGAACGCCTATTTGGAGAAAAAACGTCTCTATTTTCCACGGTAAAGAAAACTATTTTTCAGTGTGTTTTTGTACAATGCTTTTTTACATAATGTAATACTTTCTACCAATGCTGCTGCCAGGTTCTTCTTCTTGTCCAATGATGAAATGCTGGAGATTCTGTCTGAGACCAAAGACCCCCTGCGAGTACAGCCCCATCTGAAGAAGTGCTTCGAGGGTATTTCCAAACTGGACTTCCTACCCAATCTGGATATCCAGGCAAGGCTGTCACACATATTGTTATTGTTATATGACAACATGGTTGATGAACGTTTATTAAATTGTTTTTAAATCCTCCCCCATAGGCGATGTATAGTAGTGAGGGGGAGCGTGTTCCGCTGATCCAGAACATCTCCACGTCTGACGCCAAAGGAGCTGTGGAGAAGTGGCTGCTGCAGGTGGAGGACTTGATGCTTCGCAGTGTCCGAGGTGTAGTGGCACAGTCCAGGCTGGTGAGGTCACTGTTCCAATACCTCATATAATAAAAACTACTGTGATTTTTGTTCTGAAATACTATCCTGTGTATTGATCTTACTTAATAAGATAAACTTAAGTCTGTTATTGTGGTTGTACTGACAGGACTACGCTGAGACTGCTCGGAGCCAGTGGGTCAAAGAGTGGCCGGGCCAGGTGGTGCTCTGCACATCCCAGATCTACTGGACCTTGGAGGTTCATGAAGCCATCAGATCCGGAGCAGATGTAGGTTTTCGCACTGTTTTACACCCTTTATTCACAGCTTCACTAATGGAACTGATGTTAAGTGTTTTTCTGAATATGAGAAAAATAAGTTCTGAGGATTCCAAGTTAAACTTAAAGTTCACCTATTATGCAAAATCCACGTTTTCATGTCTTTTATACATCAACATGTGTCCCAGCTGTGGAAAGAGATTCTGAAAGTTTCAGGAAAAAAGATTCGCTCCCTTTTTGTCCTGATCCATTTATATAAAAACCTGTCTGAAAATGAGCTGATCAGATTTTGGCCACTTTGTGATGTCATAACGATGTTTTGGCTCGTATAACCATTAGCCAATCACCAAAGGTAACACCCCACCCACCTTATCACCTGAATCTCCTCCTAGAGCACCATTGTGTTCTTTTTAACTAAATATCTCTCAGAGGGGCGTGGCACTTTATTTTCATCTAAAGTAACAGAAGAGAATCAGCACTTTTGAAACAGGGCTGAAACAGAGGGGATTATGAGATGCTACAATACACAATCTGTTTGGTGTTTCAGCCAAACACTTCAGAGACATGTTTAGTATATATCTGAGAACTATAATATATGGATGAAAAACAGTATAATAGGGGACCTTTAAAACTTGTCAATAAAGACATAAAACAAACTTACATCCAGTTTAATAATAGTGCTGAACACAACAATGAGCTTTTACAGTGTAGTCTACATTGCAGTGATGTCTGTCCCTTGAACTACTAACTTTCGAAAAGCATGGCACCATAACAGTACCACCTTGGGGGCAAAAAACAAAATATAATTTAGTCTTTTGTTTTCTGTAGGGCTTAAAGAACTACTCCCAGCAAATCCAGAATCAGCTGACGGACATTGTGGAGCTGGTGAGAGGGCAACTGCCCAAACAAACCCGGACCACTCTGGGAGCGTTGGTCACTATTGATGTCCATGCCAGGGATGTGGTCTTGGAGCTAATTGAGAAAGGTACATCATGGCACCAAATGCTTCACTATTCACTATAAAGAGCATTGCCTTAGTTTAGAAACGGCATCAAGTAAAAATAATTGTTTCTATTTTTAACAGGAGTATCAAATGAAACAGACTTCCAATGGCTAGCCCAGCTTCGTTACTACTGGAACAATGACAATGTTCGTGTTCGCATTATCAACTGTGATGTAAAATACGCCTATGAATACCTGGGGAACTCGCCACGTCTCGTCATCACTCCACTGACTGACAGATGCTACAGGACACTGGTAAAAAATTCCACTAATAGCCGTCTTAAACCTGAATACTCTTATATTCGAATAACGCTGAGTGATCAGACATTTTAACAGTAAATCAAAAAGTTCACCTTTTGTTTTAGATTGGTGCTTTCTACCTGCATTTGGGGGGTGCACCTGAGGGTCCTGCTGGAACAGGAAAGACGGAAACCACCAAAGATCTAGCCAAAGCTTTAGCTGTGCAGTGTGTGGTCTTCAACTGTTCTGATGGACTTGATTACCTCGCTATGGGCAAAGTACCACCAGCATGACATTTTTGCATTTGAATTCCTAATTATAATGCCACATTATAATGTAAAAGTGTTGTTTTTAAACCAATGTTTTCAATTTCTCTCAGTTTTTTAAAGGTCTGGCTTCATCTGGTGCGTGGGCATGCTTTGATGAGTTCAATCGTATCGAGCTGGAGGTGCTGTCTGTGGTGGCTCAGCAGGTTCTCTGCATCCAGAGGGCCATCGAGCTGGACCTGGAGTACTTTGACTTTGAAGGGACAATGCTCAAACTCAACTCCAACTGCTTTGTGTCCATTACAATGAACCCCGGCTACGCAGGGCGCTCAGAACTCCCAGATAACCTCAAGGTCTTTAATCAGTCAATAAGTATTTTATCAGGCATTTGTGGGATTCAAAACAAATATACGCTGTTACTACTTCTGCTCCGCATAATTAATTATTTTATTGTACATAACTTAATGGCCCTTTTATCAAATTATAAGATGAGATAAGATGTACTTTATTGATCCCAATTTGGGGAAGGTTTGCGTTGCAGCAGCATAAAAGACAAGGCATTGCACATAAGAGAAATTAAGAGTAGAAATACACAATTCTAAAATGTAAACATCTCAAAATAGAAATAAAACAGCAATACAAAAAGTATAAAATATACATGTTGAAATACCAATTTACAGTAAACAAAATATAAAGCAGGATATGATATACATTAAAGTGTGTGAGGAATGGAATATTAAATAAAATATAAGTGTCAAATGTAGATTGTGAGTTTAAGTCCAGTATATACACTGTAATGAATGAATAGTGCTTTCACACCCTTCATTATAATGTTATATAATAGACGGATGTGGGACTCTTCAACATTGCCATTACTTAAATAGTTCTATCATTTCTCTGTGTAGGTGTTGTTCCGAACAGTGGCCATGATGGTCCCCAACTATGCCCTGATAGCAGAGATCTCTCTGTATTCATATGGCTTCCTCAATGCCAAGCCGCTGTCAGTAAAGATAGTGATGACCTACAGGCTCTGCTCAGAGCAGCTCTCCTCCCAGTTCCATTACGATTACGGCATGAGGGCTGTCAAAGCTGTGCTCGTAGCTGCAGGAAACCTCAAGCTCAAGTTTCCGGACGAGAACGAGGACATTCTGGTATTTGTGATGAAATGATTTCTCTTAGCTTGTTAAATTAGTCTATTCTGAGCCCTAATTGTGAACTTCTTTATTTTGTAAATTGGTTTGCATTGTTTTTTTCCGCATATGTTGTAACGTCCAGCTGCTGAGGTCCATTAAGGATGTCAACGAGCCCAAGTTTCTCTCCCATGATATTCCGCTGTTCAACGGAATCACCAGCGATTTGTTCCCAGGCATCTCACTTCCCGAGGCCGACTATCAGGTCTGTTAAGTCTTAAATGTAAGAATACCGTACACATGTATTCATATCGCCTTGTGTATAATATTGAGTGTTTTTTTTATGTCCATGCCAGCTGTTTCTGGAGGCTGCTTTAGAATGCTGTAAAAATCACAATGTGCAGCCAACAGAGGTTTTCATACAGAAGATTATCCAAACATATGAGATGATGATAGTCAGGCATGGGTATGTTGAATTTCAATTTCACTGATATCATATTACGATGTTTACCATTTCAAGAATCAGGAGAGACGGTTTTGATGTAAGAATACATATTTATTGCCGGGAATACACAAATGAATGTAAGGGAGTTTTGGCGATTAGGCCCCGTTGTGCAGGAGTATCATTCGGGAGGGGAGGAGCGATCCGATGAAATCCCCCGGGGTCTAGACACTGGTGGTGGTGAATGGATAGTTGGGTTCAATCTGAAGGGGAGTGGCTTAGCTTGACCCTGGATTCAGAGGGACAGGGGCTGAAAAAGGGGTGGAGGAGGGTTGGGTCGATTCACCTGGAATGACAGCTGTCAGAGGGGAGAGCAGATTTAAAAGGTTTAGTGGAGCGCTATGATAGGCTTGTGAGAATAGAGCGAAGTGATTGGTTAAGCTGGGGAGTGTTCAATATGTGTTCAAGTTACACTATTTGAAACGTGATTACAATAAGATATTCCTTTTTCTGTCAGGTTCATGCTGGTGGGGGAACCTTTTGCTGGGAAGACCAAAGTGCTGCACGTTCTTGCTGACACGCTGACCCTCATGAATGAGAGAGGGTTTGGTGAGGAAGAGAGGATCATATACAGGACATTGAACCCAAAGTCCATCACCATGGGACAGCTCTTTGGACAGTTTGACTTAGTTTCTCATGAGGTAGACCTGAGCCTTGGATCAACACATAACAAATCTGTATCACAGATAAATACAATATTTGTTTATTCACAGTGTTGATCTAGGTCTTGGAAAACAGGTGACCCTTTCTTCCTCTAAGTCTTTTCACTTTTTCCTTTCCTCATTATTAGTGGACTGATGGGATTGTGGCCAACACATTTCGTGAGTTTGCATCCGCTGACACACCAGAACGTAAATGGGTGGTGTTTGATGGTCCCATAGACACACTGTGGATTGAGAGCATGAACACTGTGCTGGATGACAACAAAAAGGTTCATATTTCACAGTAAAAAACATTTGATAATTATATGTATTTCTTTCTAACACCATTTTGGATTTTATTTTTCTTCATAGTTGTGCCTGATGAGTGGAGAGATCATGCAGATGTCCAATCAGATGAGTCTGATTTTTGAAGCAATGGATCTCTCCCAGGCCTCAGTGAGTTCGATATTTGGAGTTTGATTGTCTTGAAAATTACAAATTGCTAGTTTAGCATTTTGCAGTTATAAAACTCCACCAAATTAACCAACAAGCTTAATAAACAAGCTTTCCTTCCTGCAGCGGTCAGACTATACAACCAGCATAGCCCCTAGTTGACCCCCCCCACACACACACACACACACACACACACACACACACACACACACACACACACACACCACAACACAGACTATATCACCCCTTGCTGTTAAATACCAACCACCTATGTGCAATATGTGCTAGATGTGCAATATATATAGATGCCGTTAATAACTGTAATATATACCTGGCTGCTAAATCCTAAGAACTGTTACAGGATGTGTATTTCTTTAAATTATGTAACTTTTTTTATTTTTTATTATATATATTTTTAATGATATCATAACTTAGTACTTTTTTTTAAATGCATGTCACATATTTAA